AAGAGGAAAGTGAAAGTTAGCAGGATAAGAAAATTCCTGGTAGAGAGGATTAATTAGGATTTATATCCTGAAATGTTGAGTTCAAGCACAGCAAGAACCTTCCTGAAAAAAAGTTAAGTTAGGGGGTGTAATAATAGCCCATGGTCATTATGTGAGCCTTAGGATTGTATAGGATGCAAGGATTTTACTACTGGAAATCTATGTTTTTCACATTGCCTGTTAGAAAGAGAAGCAGGGAAATTTGGAATGAGACTTGTAGAGAATACACTGTTATAGGGACATACTGTTCTGTCCTATGGAGTGAAGAGCTTGCCTTCTCTCTGCTTTTCTCCCTTGCTTAATGGCCTTTTATGGCTGGTAGCTACTCTAAAGTACTTAATTTGTACAACTGCAGTAAAGGTAAAGGAAAGATAAGCCCATGATCTGCAGCAGCAGACTATAAGTAGCCATGAGACAGTGGTATAAATACACTCTCATGCTTTTTGCAATTCTAGTGCTTTAGCATGTTTAGGTGCTTGCTTTCTCCTCCCTGTCCTGGCTCTGCATTTGTAGACAAAAAAATCTTACAGGGTCAAGTTAGGCCCTTGTTCATCCTACAATGAGAGTCCTTAGACATGTGTACCTCAATAAACTTGGACTTGTCATCCAATGTTCAAATCACAACAAAGTATGCTGAACATTAGACCAACGTATGTGAGGAAAAGTGCATGCTATGACAAACAGATGTTTTTAGCCACTTGGAGGAGCTCTGCAAAAAAAGGAGGGGAAAAGCCAAACTTATAATTTAGTTTGATCTACAAACTCGCACTTTGTCCAATAACATAATATGTTTCTATTAATCCTCCTTTAGTGGGTACTGATCCTGTAAAAGCTTTTTCTTAAAACAGGGGCAGATAATGTTCAGAGGTCAGGAAGCTACAACAAGCTTCCCTTGGGACTTTGGATGACTATTCAACATTTTTAAACACCCACACATCCAAAAACTGGGTCTGTTCTAAAGTACAAGCCTAGTTTGCAGTAGGCACTAGCAAGGCTTGCTGGTCAGTCATGGTTACCTTACATGCTCTTGCAGCCACTTGTTGAAAGAGAGAGGCAGTAGTTGTAGAAGAACAGTCTTTTCAAAGTCTAGTTGGCATTAGTGGGAGTTCTCATTGAGGAATAAGTGACATGACTTTTTAATTTGTATATTCTAAAGAATGTGCTCTTATGACTGTATTTTAATGGTTTTATAGTATTGTATTTTAACTGTTTTTTTTTGTGTTTTTAATTGTGTGTTATGTTTTAACGTGCTGTACCCCGCCTTGAGGAGAGGTGGGAAAGAAGTAAGAATTATTATTATTATTAACTGTCTGAGAACTCGCCTAAGTTTGGAGTGTGTGTAGGTGGGTTACAGCCTGAACAATAGAGCTTGAAAAACTACTGAAAAATACTTTTTCAAATTTTTGAATTGATGTGTGCTGATATGGAAATGTATACCCTGTTTTCCCCTCCAAAATTGAAATGTTGAACATGTCTACAGGACATCTTTCTTGGGGAGGCATCCCATCTCCTTTGAAATACCTTTTTGTTAGTCAGGTAGTCAAGTCAATCAGATGATATTGGATTGTCAGGAAAGAGCAGCTAGGTTATTTAATTTATTAATACTATTCCTCCCCCCCCTTTTTTTTTTTTACTGCTGCTGCAGAGAAGAGAGAGAGAGAGACTAGTCAGATTTTCTGCCTGAGGGGACAGAGAATGTGGTCAGGTTTCTGTATAAAATAATTTGACTTCAACATTTGCCACTCTGCCTCAGGAAGCAAAATATATTGGTCCCGTCATCCGTCATGCATTCACTGAAGAGAATACCGGTGCCTATGCTGGCTGGGGAATTCTGGGTGCTGTGATAAAAAAATTAACTTTTCCAAGCTGTCATACTTCCTGCAGTCCTATCCAGGATCTGTTGTTGGGTTTTTAAAAATTCTAACTCAAACAATCTTTCTTTGAAATTATTCAAATTGCTCATGTTCCAACCTGTTTCTCTCTTTGTTAAATGGAATACAATTGTAAGAGGATATGACGGCAGCAGTTTTTTGGTAGAAAACCCCCATAGACCAGTGAGTAAGAACAAAGCAGAATCTGATGTAATAAGTTGGGGGGGGGGGGAGAATTGGAGACTTATTCGGTAGGATTTAAGTGCTTTTTCTTTTTAAGGGCCTTTTGGCCCAGTCCAGAGAATTGTGGAAGTAGTCAAGTTGGAGGTTGCAATATGTTCTGCTGAGTCAGTGGAGAAAAAGCATAAAGTGTGGAAATTGCTTCATTTTCATATAGGAAGCATATGGGATAAAAGAGTTACATGCATATTACTGCATTACCCTTTCAACCCTTCTGCTATGAACAGAAGACCTTTGCAGTCAGTGGTTTGGTGTTCAGGGCAAGGCAAGGCAGTAGCCTCCTCCATGGTTTGCAGAGAATGCAATTATTTTTCAGGATGACAAGATGTTCCCAATCACCCACAACATATTGCATGGTGGTAATAGTATTTGTCTTTAGGTCACCTGTTGACGTAGGGTGACCCCATGAATTTCATAGGGCTTCTTAGACAAAGAGTACACAGAGGTGGTTTTTCCAGTTCCTTCCTCTGAAATATAGCCTACATCACCTGGCATTCATTGATGGTCTCCCATCCAAGTACTAACAAGGGCTGACCCTGTTTAGCTTCCACAATCAGATGGGATCTGGTCCCTTTAGGGTTATTAAAAACAAAGGAGCAAATAAAGAATAAAAGCACTTAACTTCCAAATGGAGGAGGGTGATGGCTTATGAAGAGGCTTGTTGAATAGAACAGTAGGATGTGAGGGAGATCTGTGCAACGTCTGTCACCCCATTGATCACTAGGGTGGATTTGGCTGGCTCTGTGGGTGTCCATTT